GGTCCAACGCAAGCACTAAAATTCACCAGAATGCCTTCACATTCCTGTATTTTCTGAGTCTCCCAGACTTCTTGTCACCATTTTAACTGGACAAAGGTCTCTAGTATTTTCGGTTTTGTTTTTGTTTTTTTAAAGTATAGCATAAACAGCAACATGACGAATGCTTCTCCTGGATCAGGACTCCGAGGAAAGCTGTTCTTCTACTGTTCGATATGAAAGTAAGCTGTTCAGTGTGGAGTGCAATAGCCAGCTATGTTCCTAAACCTCCTTTAGGTATTATTCCTAAAATCACGATATGGGAGGAGATATTTATGAAGGTGGGATGGTTTCAACTGTTTTGAAAGCTTGCTCCAAGATTGGCTTTGGTTGACAACATTCATCTCTAGAATCAAATCTAATGAATAAATAAAATAGCTGCCCTGTATAAAAGGCTTGGTAAGCCATTCATCACAATATGATAGAGCTACATTATATTCTCAGATACATCCACACAAATACAGAAAAAATAAATCTGTTTCAGTAAGACTATTCATATTATCCATCTGGCCACCTGAATATGGCAAGTTAAGAAAATTAATTCAGGTAAGTACAAAAGCTGTGGCTGGTTCATTTTAACAAATTCCAGCAGAACTTAGCTTAGCCTGACACCGAAGCAGATGAAACCAAAATCTACTCTACAAGAGACTGTGTAAAAAGCAAGATTTTCAGCCAGAAGATTGTGGAAATCAGGCTAAAATGACACTGTTCAAACAAATGTTAGAAGACAGAACTTCAGCTAGCAAAAAAAGCAAAAAAACCAGCTCGACTCCATTGACTTCAGGGGAGCCATCCCAAATACCATCAGCGGGGAATCTGGCACTGTCATAAAAAAGGTGTGGTTTGCAGGCTACCATTGGTATATCTGGTACTTTTAGTTAAGATATATATTTTCTTACAGACTGTAACAAAAGAAACAACGAAAACAGAATTTTAACAAAGGGCATCACTCCAGGTAAGTGTCAGAGAATAAACGCGTCTCTGTTCTACCAGCTCTGTAAAAGAAGGGGAAAGAATGTTGAACGTAACAAAAGTGTAGTCCTTAATACTTTATGCTGCAGAAAGGGATGAACTACCAGAGGTACAAGTCCATAGAACGGTATAATTACTTCCTTTATAACTTTGCTCTCTTCTGATTATGTACATACATTTTAAAGGTCCTCCATCCTCCAAAAGGGCATGGGAGGAGGGGGGCTGGCTCTGTATAGTTGCTGGTAAGAAATCCTAATCTCAACACTGGTGTAAGCTAGAGGTGTCTATACATTTGAGCACTTCCTGTTTTCACTTTGTGATCAAATGTGTTCTTTGCAGGGCAAATAGGGGAGCACTTGAGGGAGGAAAGCAGAGATGTCTGAGAGGCTAATTGAGTGTACTAAGGACTCCTTGGCATAGAGGAAAAGGAGTCTTCCAAAGCTATGAATAAACTCTCGGCTTGGGTCAGATTTCTTGCTGTTTCTTTTCTTTAACCACCTTTGAACTCAAATAAAAACAGCCTTAATGTCAGGTTTACCTTTCTGATGTCGTAATCTTTATGTACTATTGAAAAGCTTATACTACCAGACTAGGATTTCCTCTACTTTCTTAAACACTGGATATTATCCAGAAAAAGCATACACATTTCCAACCAATTCATCCTCAGATCTTTCATCTTCCGGTACTGTTGTAATTCCGAACGTAAGACAGAGCTCAGTAAGTGAACGAGAACATGACAGAAGCTCCTACTCCTTGCATTTGATTTCCAACAATAAAAACATGCATGTGTATCCTATTTCAAATATAATTAAAATTACTGCAAAATGGAAGCTGTGATAGGGGTTAGAAATTGTTTTGAAGGACACAGCCTGTCAGATACATTCATTCTACATCAGAGTTCAAGTGCCTGCATCTTCAAAAAAGCCACTTAGGCAATTCAATTTTTAAAATCGGCTACCTTAGGAGTTTGCAAACTGATTGAATAATGGAAAAAAATAGCATTTTATTTAAAATCATAAGTCAATACAATTGGTCAGAACTGAGTTACTCTCTTTGAATTTGACAGTCTAAAGGAATTTCAAGTTTAATCCACACCATAAGAGATGGACTGCCACTGCCTCTCCTTCCAGGGAAACCAGAGGTTAATGATTTTTGTCATATTGAGACTAACAGCTAACAATTGCTACAGTTGGCCTTTAGTATTTTATTTGTCCTTTTGAGGTATTCAGAATAGGTGACAATGGCTTGCAGTTGAGAACATATGTAGAGAGACCCCTGTGGCTTATGGAAAAGTTGCTCCATGCTGGTTGGGTGTTTGAAAAAAAAATACAACCAGAGCTCTTTTATGTTCCTCTCCTTAATGAATGCATGAATGTCAAAATGTACCAATGGCCCATTCAGGGGGCAAAGCCTAAGCAGCTCCTTCTTTAAGAACACATCCTGAGATGTAAAATACATTTGCTTAACAAATTAAAACAATGAGATAATTAAATTAGTTTCTTTAAAAAAAAAAAAAAAGAGAAGGAAAAAAGGGTACATCAGGGGATTATTGTAATACAAGAACAGGTCATACAGCACAAAGGAGGAACAAACCAATTTGAAATAAGGTTAGAGTAGTAATGAAGGAATGTACATTGAATCATGGACCGCCATTGTAAAGATATTTACTTGAAACAATAAAATTGTACATCACAGATTCCCCCGTTCTGGCTCAGCCAGCGTTGCACTTTGAATGGACAAGCTAATTTGAGAAAAAGTGCGAGATCTTTAAAAGAAAGGAGTTCTCGTCCTTCCCTGCATGTGTTTATGGCAAGAATCTTTCTGAATTTACATTGCACTGGTCAGGGGTCTCCATTATCAGTTTTCAGGTCTGAGACTTACAGCACAGTAAATCTTTCAACACCTGCAAACTCATTAAAGCTTGGACAGTAAAAGGTTTGGGGCTTTTTTGTGTTCGTTTAATTTGATTTTTGCGAGGCCATCCTCACCAGTGATGGCAAATTTCCCCGGTTCATGCAGGATGGAGAGGGATAGGAGAGAGAGGATGGAAACAAGGAAAAGGGATTTCAAAAAGCCAGGAGGACTTTCCTCAAGAGAAAAGAGAGGCAGTTGACTGTTTAATAAGCATGTGTCGGATGCTTTCAAGGAGCATGTGAGAAAGGAAGGCAGGGAGAAAAAACCAAGATATCACAAATTTCATAAGAGGAAATGGAGTTACCACGGAGACATGTACAAAACAAACTGGTTTATTTGTGGCCCTGCTTTTTGCTGTCTGCCTGTACTACTCCTCTAAAGATACCCTACAGCTAAATGAAAAACCCTCCACTCATACTCACTCGACTTCCAAATTAAAAACATTTTACAGGTTAGTAAATCTCCAGCTGAGGTGATGTAGCAAAGAACAGCTGTGAAGTAATTTTGATAATGATGAGAATAATAAGCACATGGCAAGGTTCAGGGCTTTGCTGTTGCAGCTTCAGTGCTCCTGAATAGATAAAAGTGATTAAATACTCCTGATTATCCCTGACCAATATGTAATGGATTTACAGCCCTTTCAATTAGTCAGTATTTGCTTAGGACTCATTATTTTGTCTTTGGTTAAGTAATCAGCCCAGAGACTCATGTTCTGTCTAATTCCTCTGAGCCAAGTGGGTACAGGGCACCTGACCTTTGAAATGGCCATAGCTGGGAGGCAGGAATAACCACTACTCCAGCAGAGACACTGGCTATTCCAGCTAATCCTGACCCCACAGGCCAGATCAATGCACCTTAGTTTGCTACTAATGTCCTTACATCAAAATGATGGTTTAGAAATGTGGATCTATCGCTCCCCCCTTTAGCTGTGCTGCTAGCAGAGCAGTTCGATAGTCCCTATCATAAATAAATCGGGTACCTTGTCCTGAAATCATTACACTGTAACCAACATCAGCTACCGTGGAAATTTATAAAACTTTGGTAGAAGAAGAGGTAGTTAATAACAGTTAGCATTTTAAGCCTTATGAAGTGAGAAACAATTTTACAGTGAGAGGAAGAGGAAAATCAATTGATAATTTTACCAGTTTCCCTTATTTCCCACATGAAGTAAACTACGAAGAGTGTTACTAGGTTTTCTGTGGAACCGTGTTTTGATGCCTAAGTGAAGCTATAATAGTCAGCAGAACACCAACACATAAAACCAATTGCAAGCAGGAGGATAAAGATAGACCATGGAAAGCATTGCTTTTTCACATGTTTAATCTCTCTCCCCCAAATGTGAATATGGCTAGCTTTTAACATAACGGACTTGAAGAGAAGCTAAAAAGTGCTTATTCTCTCTGTTACGCAACTGAAGAATTAGGGAACCTGTAAGCCTTCTATATTTCTCACAAAAAGTGACGATGACAAGTTTGCAAGCTGCTGCTTTGAATTCTCTAATATCCACAGTGTATGTCAGCACACACAGACTGGGGCTCTCTCTTCCACCACGTACATATGAAGTTTGTGTAAACAGAGGCCAGCAATAAAGAATCCAGAAGGCAGAGCTTTATATATGCTAAAGCAAGAAACCCCCTTTTTTGTCCTTAGGAACATTTTGAATAGTTCAAAGCAAAAAATGGTTACTTTATAGGTAGATGTTGTTCCATGCTAAGGCTTTGTACTCTCTCTCTCTTTCTCTCTCTATAGGCATCTATGTGTGTGTATATACAACACACACATTATATGTTTCTTTCAGATTTGTCATGATTCCAAGAGCCAAGAAAAAAAAAATCTAAGGGGGGGGGGGGGAGCAAAACAT